CACATAGACAATCCCGTGACAATATGCGTTTTGTAACGCTGTTACACAGCACAAAACGCATAAAAATTACGAGTACCTGTGTATAAACGGCATCATTCGATCGAATTGTTAACGTTTCTTCAGCAAGCGCGCCATTCGGATCAAAACGTCTTATTGCGTTGCTAAAATTATGAGCACCATGAACATAAAAATATCCCAGAAAACGATATTTATAAACAACTGCTGGTGCATGTGAAATCTCTAAACCCTAAGGCTGAAACCGCTGATTCCAGTATTTTAAACAGAAAAACTACACTCTCAATGATTAACTCTGGTGAAAAACAATGAGAGGAGAGGATAGGATATATGAAAAGGTCAAACCAGCGTCAGCTATTTTCTAAAACAACACTTAAAAAGCAGCCAATGGCGGCTTTTTAGCGCATATTTTTTGTCATACTGCAAACATAAATGTGACTTCCGCATTCTTAAGTCCTTTAGAGGAAACCGAAGCAGTTTAAAAGAGGAACTGACCTAAAATTTGTACGAGCTTCGCGCGAAATTTTCAGCAGCTGCGTGTAACACGCCGAATGTAAGCTATTTTCGGTATATTCCGACAGCGCTTCGATTTGTTTTGACATCGCGTTGAAAACGCTCGCTGCTGCTTGTTGAATTTCGCCTTCTGCTTCGGCAACGTATTTGCGTGTGAACAAAAGCGGTTCAGCGGTGCAAACCAGCGGGCTGAACATAACGTGAAACGGCCGAATCTACAAAGAAACCAGATAGAATTTCGAACAATATGCAATAAACTCTTCTATCTCATTATGTTTAATATGCAAAAAGAGCAAATTTTATGACGAACGGTGCTTTTCTGGAAAGGCATGGTCCGGCCGAGAGTCGAACTCCTCGAATTCACTATTCTGGAATCTTTTGAATCCTAACAATTACAATGTCGGCCACTATGCTCCACATCTAGCAACTGGCACATTATAGTGTCTAACGCTGCTGCCACAAGCAAAACACACCTAATTTCGGCAGGCTTTTCGCCGTTATCCGCGATATCCTCTTTTATGCAGTAGTGCTGTGGATAATTACTCCTTCCATAGTTTATGCCTATAAGATTCTCCTACCAGTAAACTAAGCACTGAGGACAAACGATCCTCTACATCCCCTTTGCTGTTCGAAAAAATCCTGTATATCCTTGAATTCTACGCAATTATATTATGCTATCACAGAATAAAACATACCGGCTGCACTTTAAAAGTCGTAACGTGGTTACTGAACGCGAAATGCCGTTCATGTTCGTGAAAACAGCAATGCTCACATTCCTGAATGAAAAATTCTCTAAAAAAAGAGGAATCGCAAACGTCCAGTAAATTCAAGCTGATCACAAATCCATAACCGTGGATGACTTCACTCTACTGCTCTGTAATTTGCTAAGCCCAAGCCCTGTATCGCGCCCAGTTAGCTTAGACGATGTGGTCAGAGCAGCTAGAAAAGTTACAAGTTTTACAGGTACTGAACCAAACAGCGGAATAACAGCTTTTCCAGGTATTCCAGTACACCTGCACGCCACAATGACTGGCTGTTACGGAGTGGTGATAAATGCGCAGAATTTTTGGACAAGCAAAAGAGGGGGAAGGCAATTTTGCTAGTTTCCTCCAAAAAAAATGAAGTGAAAATGAATGCCAGGATCACCAGCAGCTGAGAGATAGCTTTCGATTACAACAACCACTACTAATAAGTGGTAGTTACCTTCAAGTTGCTCGGCAACAAAACGACAACCAATCAAAATATCAAAGTAAATATGCGGCGTATCGCACGTGCTGAGAAACTGTTATGAAATGCGTGGTGATATGAGAAATAAACTGCAATTACTGACCCGAACATCTGCGTTGATTCTGCATGAAGCATACGCGCCATTCGCTAAATAATCCAAAAAACGAGCAAAACTTAATCGACAGATGCTCTCCGTCAGTGCCACCACTGGTGACGACGCCCTGCACCTGAAATTTGGCCCCAATTTACAAAGCACATAATTAGCAGCAACAGTAACTAATATCATGCCACCAACAATCATATTGAGCGGAATTCCCTTTTACAAATGAAACGGTCCGGCAGACAACTCCAACTACTCATCTTCACTATCCGCTGATCCCCTGGGTCGAGACGGTTAATCATTACGATGATAGCTGTCCTGAACAGAGATCCCTTTTACAAGGGAGATGGTCCGGCTAAAGTCGAACTGCTTACGCTTCAAATCCAGCAACACTTTAGCTGTCGCCTCATCGTAACATTAATAATAAAAAAAAAAAAAATTCAAAACGATGATCATGTCAAAACCGAAACGCTTTCATACTTTATATTTAAGGAAAAAGTGCCAGGAGAAAATCCGAGTGAGTGTAATTTATTAAAAGCCTACATGCAAGAAAGGCCATCATCAAATCAGAAAAAAAAAATCCTTTAAAATTCAACAAGAGAGCAACTTCATTATTTAGTTGCTTGAAAGTGGACACAAAACAACATTACAACTAGAAACTAGAAAAACAACGGACTCCTGGTATTCGCTGAAGGAACCCACGTTACAGATGTTGCTGGGATGCTCCTACACGCCAGAAGAAGTCACACCAGACCGTTCGATTCTGAACCTCACTTACGAAGCTGAGCTGCTCAGAGCCACCACGAGTAAAAATATGTAAAATATCGACATACTTTATGCAGTACTGCCACGCAAGCAGCGAATCGTTCTGTTGGTTCACAGTAGCAGCACTGCACTCGTCACCAATGTGCACATAGTTTTGCGTTGTTATCTCAACACAGACATTTCTGTGGACTATTTTTCGCAAATGATCCATCATTGGCAACTCACAATTTGTTGATGGACATTGATAAGCCCTGTTGAAACAATATCTAAAAAACGCATAAAAACTCCAGATGCAGAGACGATTTTAGACATAAAGCATCACAAATGGAGCGAAAGCGTCAGAAATTTCAGCTTTGCAGCTTCATTGATTGCCAAATTGAAAGTGATTAATAAAAATGTGAACACAGACATACAACCTCTCGTCAATATGTTTTTGCATTTGCATAAATGTGCAAAAATGCATAAAAACCTGAACTTAAACAAGAAACAAATATTTCTCGTGCATGATTTTTTAAGATTAACCAACATCGAGATCACCACTAATCGAAGCACCACTTGGCAGACATAAACCGAAAAGTTTGCTGGATATACAAGTGGAAAATCAGGCTACGAAAAAAACAGCCACTTCAGATATTCTAGACAGAGAAGACAAAAGCCAAAATCTCTCCATGTCCACTTCCCGAGAGCGTTAAGGCACTTGGAAGTACTCCAAATAGCAGCACGTGTTAACAGCAATCACCCACTGATAGGATTGAAAAAAACACGAAATTATCACGAAAAAAAAAAAAAAACCACAGGTCTCGGACAGATTGAAAAACCGCTGGGTGTAAATCATTTCTGGACAATTAAAAACAAACTTTTTCAAGAAATCGCCCAGTGACATATCATTCACTCCATAATATTCCATATTCACAACCCATGGCCGAACACAGAATAACGGCGCATTTGGTGATTTCGGACAGTACGATCCAAACAAAACGGATATCTGCTGATGCGCAAACGGGTCAAAGACATCTTCACTTTTTTCAGTGCCATTCTCTTTCTCCCTTTAAATATTATCCGTAAAATGAAACAGGCTGAAAAGTTATTTCAGTCCTCAAATAGCAAGTTTAATAAAAATTCCAGAGCCAGGAATCGGTGGAAAAATCTCCTTCTGTCATATGTAAAACAATGAAATGGCTATATGTAAGCACTGTGCCACCAGTATTCGAAAATCGCAAGGTTCTGCGAGCGGCTTTCACTTCGAAGACTTAGCTCATTGTTCGTAAACTAGACGTGATTCGTCTACACAGTTGGACCAGTTGCCATGACACATTATTTGGTCTTTTGGTTGTAAATCTGGCAATCTTTGCAAACGCTTTGAAAATCGCTTGATGTCAGCCTACAATAAATCCTTTCATTCGTTTGATTTGCTGAGGGAGTACCGACACAACAGTTCTCAGCACAAGCACTTGGAATAGTCAGAATCATTTCGAGGTGTCTTCAGTGTGTATTGAAATTAAGATGTAAACAGAAAAGGAAAAAGAAATACAGAAATGTTTTCAACAAACACTTCATGCGATACAGAATTTACCAGCAAAGGCATGGTTGAAACAAAAAAATTCTCACCTCGGCAGCTTCGCGTGATGTTCGTGAACATTACGGCGTAGAATTCGGCCAGAGAAAGCTCGGAATGATGCAATGTTATCCTCATTCACTTCAGTTAAACAAACATCTCTAACAAAAGGATGCCGGACATACTTCTTTGATATAGGCTTCTCTTCCACACACGTGGCAGAACACTTCCTAAAATTTCAAAACAACGAAAAATTAAAATATTTCGACTGTTTCGGAATACTATTAAAATAAATATAATAAAAGGGTGTAAAAAGTGGTGGCTGTCTATATTGGAGAGAGCAGCGGAGCAAAAGATAATTGTAGCACCATTTCGTGACTGTTATATACGCCGTACAAGAAATGTGTAGATATCACTGTGACTACGCAAGAAATTAAAATCCGATGAGCTTAACACACTGTTCGCTTTGGTGAACACAGAAGCAAATCGCCTAACAATGAATGGTAAATGTCCACTTTGGTAGCCTCTGAAAAGCTGGCGGCACGCTTCCACTGAACAAGTGGCAGTTCTTGACCATGAAACTCAAGGCCGGAAGGGGTTACTAAGCCTAGCAAGCATAACGTCCCAAAACATCGTACTGAGTGTTCGGACGGTTTTGATACTTCTGGCACATTATTAAAAAAAAGGAGTTAGCTGTCCTTTATATTAATACTTCAAATAACTGCCGTTTCAAAGTTACGTCTCTTTGTACCATCAGTGCAACAGTTGGCAGCTTCTATATGCATTGAAAAGCAGTCCTCAGAAGCAAATTAAATCTGGCTGGCTGTTTTCTTAACTACGGTTCTTTATAAAATATAGAACTGATACAAACTCTGAAATGTTTCAAAAGCATCGTAGTAAAACTGAAATTTATTTATTTCATGCGTTTTGTGCCGCCTAGCAGCTGTACAAGAGCATATTTTCATACCCTTGTGTGTGTATCCGAATGCATTTTTAGCCGTCGTTTTTCAACTGGAGAATTACAAAAGCTGATATTTTTGGAAGAATGTTTCCTGCTCACGCGTGACACCGCAAATTCAAATTTAGCCTTCATGTATGTTTTGTTTTCATGCACGGCCATGTGAAAGTTTTGGCACCAAAATTAATAAACTGGAGCCATAGAGGCTAGGAAGCTAAAATTAAGGAGAAGGTTACATGTCACTATGAGGCATAGAAAATTTTGTATCTTGCTTCTTCATGTGCCTACGCTTCACAGCAACTGCGCAAAATAAAAAAAAAAAACAAAAAAGTGGGGCTAAAAGCTCACCTGGTGTTGCCATTATTTTCGCCAGATAAACTGCGAATGAATCGATTAAAAAATTTCCTTAGCAAACACTGCTGACCTTTCACTGTTTCCAGAAAAGGTATTCCGAATTCAATGAGTGGCGATGGTGACAGTGCGCACTTTATTAGACGATTATAAAAGCTATCCTGAAACATTCATGAAGTACAGAAAAGAGATCATCAGACAAAAATATTTCGTCTTTTCAAAACGACCAATACATGCAGTGATGAAAGGGATTCAAGCAAAATTTTACTTTTATTGCTCGAAAAGAAACTAAACCCTCTGAGCTTTTGGGAAAACAGGGTGTACTGCCTATGCATACGATGGTGCAGTAACTCACCTGACGCGAATCTGGCATGACAGA